CCCCCCCCCCCCCCTCTGTCGTGGGAGTCACGTGCGGGACACCACCCCCCCCTACAGCACAGCAGGACGCGGGGGGCCCTTTTCTTCTACAAGGGGCTCACCTTCGTCACCGTTCCTTCCCACATGCCGTCGCGCCCGAAGTTCTTGGCGAACGTGGCTCCGATCAGCTCACCCGCGATAACGGAGCCCCGGACGTGCGGGTGCGACATCTGTGCGATAGGGGGGTAGGGGAAAACGTGTGCCCAAGAATATGGCGGGAGGGGGAGGGGGTACTCATGGTTTGCATGCCTTAGCTGTTAGACCATTGACAACGCGACCTCGAGAGGACGGAAGATTGTTATTTCCCACAGGACCGATCGCCGGGGGGATGGTCGTGACCACGAATTCATGCCGTAAGCCATCGCGACCGCAGACCTACCGTAGCACCCGAACACGACCGGTGATAGCGTGAGGCGTTCGGGCAGTCAGCACCAAGTGCTCCATTTATCCAAGCAACAACTGAGCGTGAGGGCGAAAGCAGCCGACAACGTCTTCATAGCTGAATGATGAAGCAATTATCATCTGGTATCCACAAAAAAGACTAAGGGCACTACGGCCACCTACCACCTACCTCCATCAGCGGAACCTCGGCCGCGATCAGAGCCCTAGCCGTCTCCAAGTCGATATCGTCCTCCTCCTCATCGCCGCCCCCCTTCCCCTCTGCCGCCACCGCTTCCCTCCTCTCCCTCTTGGCCGCAAGCTTCTCCTCCGCCGCCTCCCTAAGCTTCAGGTTCGCGGCCGCGGCAACCGCGGGAGAGCGTCCCGTCGGCGTCGGCACCACCCCGGGCTTGATGGGAGCGTCGAACAGCTTGGCCACTATCTCGTACACGATGAAGCGGGTCCGCCACCCGCTCGCCCGGACCACCTCCCGCATGAGCCGCTCCGGCATGTCGACCTCCACGTGCACCAGGAACTTGGCGTTCGGCAGGTACCTTATGGTAGGTGTCGGGGGCAGAAAGATAGGGGGGGGATTGAAGACGTGTTCATGTGTGTGTGCGTGTGCGTTTTTTTTATATTAGCATCGACCGCGCTAACCGGCTGACCAATGAAAACACGTCAGTCTCAGTGCGGTTGAAAACGCACAACACTTTTTTTTGTTTGTTTGTTTGTGTTTGTCAGCATCGACCTCGCTAACCGGCGTGTGGGTGCGTGTGTGTTCATTTCTCTGAAAAGAATCAGCCGCGATGTGTGTGTGCGTGTGTGGGGGTGTGTTTTTGGCATCGACCCCGCAAAGTCGGCCGACCAATGAAAACACGCCAGTTTCAACAAATAGCCCAAAAAAACCCGTCAAATATCACGTTTTCCAATCAAAGTTGTTTTTTCTAACGACTGGGGGGGTGCAGGAATTGGATGACAGAGTGTCCTGCTTCTCAAGTACGGGAAGACAAACCACCAAGCAGCATTGTTGGTACACCATCTGATTCTCCCATGCGAGCATCGTTGCCCTGTACTGGGTTTCGTTCTATCCGATTTCCCTTTGCACGAGAGAGATTTCTACTACATACCAGCTTCATGACGTTCATTATTCCCTGTAACTCTTGCTTGAGCCCTGTCTATCACCACCTTTGCCCTGAAGGGATCGAAGCCCCTATTTTCTTCGATACCGTTGTCTCTGACTCTACTTCTATCTTCTTTGTGTCCGTATGACTTCTCTCCTCCTCAGTACGATTCATTGGGAACCGCCGTCTGTTGCTACCCAAATGGTTTGAGTGAGGTATGAGCCAGTCTCTCCCCCCAATCTCTGAGGAATCGCGGTTCCCATGAATCGCACTGGAGTGGGGGGAAGCATACGGACACCTAGGAAGGTACAAGCAGAGTCAAACGATGGAAACCCCTTCAGAGTAGCGGTGGTATTTATGAATGCTTGTTTCTTCGACTAGCATTGACTGTCCGGCCGTTGCCGACGTTAGTCTCAACAATAAACGCTTAACAATGCGCTTTCTCAGCCTCTGGGGTGTGCGTGTTTGTGGCTCTATGTAGCTGACACCGGCAGCGCCAACCGGCTGACCAATGAAAACGCGTCTGCCGTATAGACGTACGAACAAGGACGCAACAAAAACTTCTACTTTCGAACGCATTTGCTACACAATACTACAGAGACAGACCTCTATTGTAAGTGCCCAAGAGATGAACGATTACGGTCTTACACACCAAAATGACCAGGAACTGAAGTAAGGGGGAAACCCAGCCACGAATCAAATGAAACTAACGA